CAGTTGGCGGTCCCACCGGCCATTGCCTGGCTCTCTGGCCAAAGGACAGAGAGAGGACTGGGCCTCCTCCTCTACAGGCGACAGAGACTTCACAATAAAGCTGCACTCAGCATAACCTGAGAAGACTTCATGTTTACTTGAGTCCCAGAAGCAGGGCCGGAGAGGCGCGGCCTGGTTCACAGTTGTCTTGTGCAGACAGCCTTTAGGTCAACCGGGCCTTTGGAAGGAGGCAGTACGGCTGCCCTTGCAAGGACTCCTGAAATAAAGAGGACAGGGTCTCAAACAGCTGTTCTTTAAGACGCTAACGCCTTCCACAAGCTGCAGCAACTATCTTAAGCCGCTACGGCTCAAGGTTGTAAAGTGACCGCTGACGGTGTCCTGCCGCAGAGCCGGGCGACTTCTACAGCTGCTGCTACCCTTTCAAGGAGAAATCCCCCTTCTGGTTAGAAGTTCTTCCCGACCTCCCGGTAGGGCCCCCTCCCCTCTACCTCTGCCTCCGGGGATCCAATCCTTGCTCGTACTTTCTAGACGCCCGGCAGCTTTGAGCTTTGCCCCCTTGCACAAAAAAATGTGTTCTTTTTCATTTGTGGATTTAATAAACAAACGTAACTATATCACAGAAGACTCCGCGCCGTCCTTCTGAAAGCAATTCCGCTGTTGAAAACTGAAAAATGGGTGTAATTTGCGTTCAGAAAGTGATGTTAGGGTCACCGCAATTTCCAGGGCCGTTATTTATTTTTACTTTAAAGTCTTTAGGGAAGGTTTGCTTATATACTCGGAACCCTTCCAAGGCAAGGGTACCAGCGATCCCGCTCTCCTTCAACGCGGGGGGTACGGGGGTGGAGAACAATTACTGAGTGACGTTAATATGGGGAAACTGAAAAGAAATGTCTATTGTTTTTATTGTAACAGAAGGAGTGAGCAAACAGAAAAACTAACCCCGGGTGATCGGAAACAGGCAGGCGGAGAATTAAAAGCGGTTTCAGGCAACAGGCCCCTCCCCTGTCCTCGGAAGGAGAAAGCCGGTCTGGTGCGCTCAGGAGCCGATCCCAGGGCCCCAGCGTTTGGGACTGGCGGCTGGAGGCTGGCGACTGGCGACTGGCGACTGGCGACTGGCGGGGTTCCGCCAGGCGGCAGAGAAATTTCAACACTCCGGCTCGGCTGTGGCTCTCACTACCTGGTCGAGCTGAGGAAAACCTCTTGAACCGTGAGGCTCCGTCTTAGGGACGACTGAGAACTGGGAGGCCGTGGCGACCCGGGGGACATTTTCCCGCTAATCTCAGCAGCTATCCGCATCCTTTGCGCTCCTTCATTAGGCGGTGTGTCTGCTTGCGTCCCCAGCCCCATGAAGGCCAAGCAAGCAGGTCAGTGTGTGGCAATCCCCCCGCGCCTGTCTGGGGCTGAGGGTCCCTGGGCATTGTCTTTTCCCCAGTCCTATGGCTGTTCCTTTGTCGCTGCCCCTCCCGCGGCTCCACGCGCGGGTCACGCCGGGCAGACAGCCCACGTAGACCCTCCCTGGCCTTGGGCGCGGGGCGCGCTTCCGGCCACCACATGCCGTCGCAGTCGCTGCGAGGCTGAGCAGGTAGAGGAACCTGTGGGCTGCTGGAGGTTGGCAATGCGACACTGGCGGCACGGTTTGGCGAGAACTGGAGAAGCCCGAGCCTCTCGCTGTCTACGCCGCGCGCATTTAGGCACTCACCCTCGGAGACTCTCCTATTCCCGTGGGGGAACCGGACCTTGCTTGTACCGATTTTCCCCAAAGGCCACTGGAAGAAGTCACGCTGCTCTGAAAATCCTTGTCCAGGAGCTCAGACTCTGGCTGTTTCCGGATCTCCGGAACTCCCCGGGGTAGACGGAGGCGCGCACCGTCACCTGGTGTTTGTCTTCAGTAGGCTGGAGGAATCAGCTCCTTACTAGTGCCTCCTCTGCCTACCCAGCTGGTCAGAATTATTACTGGGACACCCCCCCCCCTTTCTGCTCTCACACACACCTCTCTCCTGCCATACCCTCCCCATCCACAGTCATCGTTGACCTGCAGATTCCAAGAAGCGAACGCCGAGCGGAGCCTAACTGGGATCCAGGTAGTAGAGCGAGAGGAGGGCGTCTCGTGTCCTATCCTCCAGCTTGCTGCACCGGATCAGATCGCACGCTGGAGTCCTCAAAAGGACTTACGTTTTAATTCTTATTCGGCATCTCTGCTCAGACCGCTCGGGAGTCTGGAGAGCGGCGCCGCAGGTGACCCGCCGGAGGCACTGGGACCGCTGACAGATTTATGGAGGTTTAACAACATCTGGCTACAGCAGGGCGCGAGTCCAGAGGAGAAGACACATTACGAACTGAAGCTCCCTCCTCTGTAGCTCATCCCCGCCGAGCCGCCCCCGAAGCCCGGGACCCCAGCTCCCCAAGAGGGGTGTACAGGCTCATTCCTGCCAGTGCGGAGCGAGCGGTTCCGCTCACTCTCTGAATCCCCCTCCTTTACACGCTCTGCGCGACCAGCTTCCAGTCTCCCACTGAGTAAATATTTACCCAGAAAACGGGTCGCCCCTGGGAGGAGGCCTCGCCAAAGCTGAGGGAAGGACTTTTGGCTTCTCCCGGTCTGAGTCAATTGCAGGCCTTACTAGTTGTGTTTTGGTTTTGTTCTTAAATTTCTCCTTAAGTAGAAATTCTTCTGAACTCTGTGTGATCTCCATGGGTTCAGACCCAAGCTCTCCTTTGCTTTTTCACAATCCTGCATCCCTTCGCCCATCATCTGGCCTTACTGACCCTCAGTATTGTCTAGGTCTAGCTCAATACCTCCAATTAGTTAGTCAGCTTCGGACTACCTAGCTCCCGCACTCATGTTGCCCCCGGGAAGACTTAGCATTAGTCTCTTTTTCTGCATCAGACTACTTTGCCTAAATGTGTAGTTTGGGCTACTCCTGCTCCCAGAATAATGTCACCGACGATACTTGGTGCATGGAAGATTTCGCGCACACTCTAGAGAATGCATGGAGTCCAGAGCGCGAGTACTAGCACCCGGCGGAAGGGACTTGGTCTGGTCACAAGTTGGTTCTGCATGCCTAGTGGGTACGTCGCGGCTGAGGTCACGCGTGGCCACAGCTAAGTCCAACAGGTGGAAACGGAAAGATGGTAGCGGACTGTGAGAGGGCATGTAAGATGTCGCCAGCTGAGGCAGTAGGGGGTTAGGTTACTTGGCCAGAGCTCTAATTAAAGCCCTCACAAAACCGCCAGGTCCTCAGCAGTGCAATGAGTCTTGCCTGGCCAGTCCGAAGGTGAACAGCCTTTTAACTGCACCGCTGCTTGCTGGGCGATTAGAACCCACTGACACAGAGTGTGTCTGTGGGTGTGTGAGACAGCGGCCGGGGTGGGGGTGGGTCAGCGTATGTTCATTTCTTCCTTGAACGAAAATGCAAAGCGGAACCGATTCAAGGGCACCTAACAATAACAAAAATAAAGCAAAGTCGTGAACTGTCCTCGGATGTCGTGAAGACTGAGCTAATTTGCAAACCACCACCAAGAAAGAGCTGCTTCTTCAGAAATCTTGGATTCCCAAAGACCCTCGATGTTGTAAAGCGATAATTAATACCACACAACAGGTATTGGAACTCAGACCAAGACGAAATTGCTATCAAGCAAAAGTTCGAGACGATTTTGAACCAAGTAGAAAGACAAGTATTATTTCGATTTGTGGAACTTTTCATAAGACCCTGATAATAGAGCATTGAGAATGTTTTATCATACACCTTCTTTTATCTTTCAAATTCTTCAAACCTCTAAATTTGAATTTAAAATGCCTCTCACCCTCGAAGCGTTTTAGAAAGCCCAGCCAGCCAATCATTAGTTTTTCCTGGGTTTCTGTCACTTACTGACTTGAAATCTGGACCCAGTCAATTTCCCTGTGTGTAAAATCCTAATCTCAACACCCTTCGGGATTGTGGGAAGGTCAGTCCAAATATTGTATGCACCAGAGTTTTGTGACAGTAGCAGTAAGAGTATCCTCCATCCGAAACAATACAAACTACCAAATTCATTGAAAAGTTCCTAATCTTGTTTTTATTTTGTTCTCCACAACCCATATTCAAGTTATGAATAACTTTGGGTACCAAAAAGCTATGGTACATTTTAGATTCGATTTAGAACGAACGAAAGTGAACTTGGAGAAGTAGGTACAACCTCAGGTCTTCTAGTAGCTAAATGGAAGATTTAGGAATTACATACATGTGCAGGCTCGGCGTTCACTCTCTTTGAACCAGGTAACTTTCATAGGTAAACAATCCCTTTCGAGGTGATTCGCCTGGGGAGAACCACAGGCATATTCTGGGGCGGAGGACCAAAGGCCCACTACCAGAGGCCGAGTACGGTGGTGGAGCGCGGGCCTCACTGGAGCGCACCACTAGCCCACTATCAGTCTATGTTGGTGTGTTCGCCTCTAGTTAAGTTCTCCGTAGGTGAGCGGTCCCTGCCTTGAGCCTACACCGCGAGGGTAGGCCCTGCACTCCCGGATGAACTTGGGGAGGGGGGCACCGCCGCGGGGAGCTAACCGGTGGAGCCCTCTCCTCTGCCCTGAGTTCAGCCCTAGGACCACTGCCTCTCTCTAATTGCTGTTAAAACTGCTTTCGAGTGGGTTCCAAATCATTGAGACCCTGGATAGGGTTTCCGAGGGCCTACCTTATTACACCAGCGCTCACGCCACCTGCTGGCGTGGACTGCAGTGGGGTAGCATCGGCCGGTGACAGCTCTACCCTCTTGACCTGTATTACAGGTTATTCTAAGACACGTCTAGTAAGCAGTTGGCTTCTCCCTCCCACCTAGAATCTTAATTTCAATGTCAGTCCAACATGCCCCTAAAGAAGTTTCCTTGAATCCTTCCCCCTTGGAGTCACTCATATTCGCACTAAACGATCTAATTTGCTTATTCGGCATTTTTACCAGCCTGAATTTTGCTGTCTGTTTACGCTGCCTCTGGGAAGATGTCAAACATCCATTTTCATTGTATTTAGTCACCCAGGTGCAGAGCAAGCTTGAAAGAGACAACGGAAGGAGTTTCCTGGACTGTGTTGTCGCTCAACGGCTCGCACCAACCACTGCGCAGTTTGCCGTCGGGCCCGCCTCTTTGGGGGCGTATCCCTAGTGAGTGATAGACAGAGCCGCCCGGCCCTGCTCAACCCAGCCCACGTTGCTGCTTACATTGAAATGCAGAACTCAAGCCTCTTTCATCCCGGCACAGACTTCCTTTTACTCCTTCCTTTTGCACTCTCGCCGCCTCCTCTTGGGGAGAAGCGGAGTCAACGTCGGCCCGGGACAACAATAGGCCGGTCCACTGAGGCCGTGCGAAAAGTTTCTTTCTGGGAGAACGGACTAGGGGTCCGGTGTGTGTACTGCTCGGAGCAATGGGTGAGTGGCGGCGGGGGACGCTGTCAGAGCCGGGAAGGGAGGGAGGGAGCGAGCGGGAGCGGGAGGGAGGAGGGCGCGGGCGCGAGGGCGCGCGCCACAGAGCGCTCGTGCTCTCCTTATTGACTTTGCTCGTGTTCCTACAAGTTGTAGGAACACGCTAAGGGTCAGCGGTACACAACAGTTCATCCTGATCGCTGGTTGCAGGGTTGTTGCTGATGCCATTTACTGATTTTAAGAGTAGGGAGCATTTAAGAGTAGCAGCGCAACCCTAGTAGCAGATCAAGTTTTGTTTGACACACACACACAAACAAAAAAATCTCTAGTTTTTCCTATACTTTCTCTGAGTGGTCACCCGGAGGGGCGCTGGGATAGAGGAGAAATAGTGCAAGGACTTATGGCTTGAGCAGGCGAGAAGGAGCCGGTTGCAGGCGTCAAGACCAACTTCCCTGCCTGGTTCAGAGACTTTTGAACCTTCCTGAGTGTCCCTGCGTCTCAGCTTTTACTTGCCTATCCTGCTCCTCGGGAATGGCAGGGAGCCCGACCTGACTACGGCTTTGGGTCGTTCTGAGAGGTTCATGGACCATATAATGTGGGGACAGCCCCTGTCCTAATTCCAGGACGAATGGGTTCGCCATGCCTCTAGACGCGCGCAGAGGCCGGGTGGCAGGCAGCTGTCCCAAGCGGCGGGTGCGCGTCCCTGCGCGCCGTGTGTTCATTTTGCAGAGCCAGCCTTCGGGGAGGTGAACCAGCTGGGAGGAGTATTTGTGAACGGCAGGCCACTGCCCAACGCCATCCGGCTTCGCATCGTGGAACTGGCCCAACTGGGCATTCGACCGTGTGACATCAGCCGCCAGCTACGGGTCTCGCACGGCTGCGTCAGCAAGATCTTGGCGCGCTACAATGAGACGGGCTCGATCTTGCCTGGGGCCATCGGGGGCAGCAAGCCCCGGGTCACCACCCCCACTGTGGTGAAACACATCCGGACCTACAAGCAGAGGGACCCCGGCATATTCGCCTGGGAGATTAGGGACCGCCTGCTGGCGGATGGCGTGTGCGACAAGTACAACGTGCCCTCGGTGAGCTCCATCAGCCGCATCCTGCGCAATAAGATTGGCAATTTGGCCCAACAGGGTCACTACGACTCGTACAAGCAGCACCAGCCGGCACCACAGCCCGCGCTGCCCTACAACCACATCTACTCGTATCCTAGCCCCATCACGGCGGCGGCCGCCAAGGTACCCACGCCGCCCGGGGTGCCCGCCATCCCTGGCTCGGTGGCCATGCCACGCACCTGGCCCTCTTCGCACTCCGTTACTGACATCCTGGGCATCCGCTCCATTACCGACCAAGGTAAGGCTTCAGGGTCAGGGGAGGGGGTGGCAGTGTGCTTCGCCTCCCCTTCGCAGAGATTCTATCACTTGAGGCTTTTCTATCATTGAGTTTTTTTCCTTTGGAAACTGAGGAGTCTTCCCGAGGGAAGATGTCCTGCTCGCATTAACTTGAAATTTATGCTCCTAGTTTCCTTGCCACACACGGTCTCCTGCCTCATCTCAAACTTCCAGACCCATAACATCCCCCCATTCCCAACACATGGTTCACATTTTCCACTCTCCCCGCCCTCTGCGCCACGGCAGTTTCAGCTAGGCTGGCTGCCTTAGAGTGTGCGACCGGGGCAGGACTTGGGATACAGCCGCGAGGTCGGCGTAGGCTAGGGGCCGCAGGCGGCTGCAGCCGCTGCTTCAGACAGTTCGCTTGAGGAGCAGAAGCCGCCTCGAGGAGTCCCTCACACTGGGGAAATTGCATAGTTTTCCCTCTCGGGTTCTGGCAATCAGGCCAAATTTGCTCAGGCAGGAAGTTCAAATGTCACCTAATTGGTTTCATTCTTATGCTTCACTTCATTTTCCTCGGAAACGGAGGTCCAGAAGTTACTACTAGTAACTTGCATGTTGCTCATTCCGGGACTAATTATCTGCTTTATTACTTCTCTCTCTCGATCGAATCGTTCTCTCCTTTACCTTAACAGACTTCAGAATATATCTTAGCCGTGGCACCAATAATTGTGGCGATAGAAAATGCATGACAATTACATGCCTTCCTTTCTTCTATCTTTCCCGTTTTCCACTGCTCCTGCCAGTCCACTGGAATGCGATTGGACATCTAGTTGTCCCAGAATGTTTTCGGCGATGCCACCCCACTGTTCTTCCCATTCTCACCTCTGACCTTGCCGAGTCCTCAGCGTCTTTTTTGAGTGGTTAGAAGACTCCCGGAGCCCTCCTGCCCAGTCCGACTTCCGCAATAGACCTGAGTTTGTTTTCTTTTGCTGTGTAGTTAAAAGAAAACGGGCATTAGCTTCTTTCTTGGGAAGAAGAAAAGCATGTCAAAATGCCTTGGACGCAGAACTCAAATAATGCAGATAGAGAGCTTATCTCCTTAACCTTTCGGTCCAAAATTTAAAGAGCTAGAGGAAAAATTGAATAGGAAAGAGAGAAAATAGTTTTTAATTGTTTCCTGCCTTTCTTGGTTGCCACCACATTGGCACAATTGTCTTTTTATAAGTAATTAAAATAGGGCCCTGATTTCTTGTCTTCTTCTTTTCTGTGAATTTACAAGATCCTTCTAAGAGCCCAGTTTTGTCTTATTTGGAGCCAGTTGGAGATTTAGTTGGAGAGAGTGTGCCCTTGATTTATAGGATAAACTGACCTCACTGACATTTAAAGGAAGCCCCTGTTCATGGGAAAGTGTGAGATCAGCAGAAATGGGGGCTCACAGGGGGATCTCAGTTTCTTAAGATAACTTCAGACTTGTGCCCACCGACTGCCTTTTGTCTGAGAAAGCAAAGTGAGACAGGCAGTTCTGGGCCAAAACATGGTTTCCTGGTGCAAATAGGAACACAATCTAATACTTCAGGGGAGTGGGGTATAGTGAAAGAAAAGGCTGACAGAGTTGAAAAGAAAACTTTTCTTCCCTAGGGACTCCTACAATGAGAGCAAATGTCAGTTGAAAAAGTATTGGAGTATCAGGAGGAACAACTCTTAATTCCAATATTGTTGTTGATTCTGAGTGCCAATTTTGTACAACCTAGTTAGTGACAAATTTGTGAATATATTGCTTCCTACAAAATGATCACCCTTTTGAAGTACAGAGTCAGATGGAAATGTTTAAATCGAGTTACAGTGGCTTTGCCAAGCTCTGTTTCTCCACCAATAGGTAGCAAACACAAAAATACATTCATCACAGTCTTCAAATATAGTCTTTTAAAATTATACTTGGTTACAAAAAAAGATGCTAATGATCTACTATGTACAGACCTCAATATTGTGGTAATTATTATTAAGTAATTTTCTTTGCATCTCCATTAAGAACAGAAAGGACAACTGATAGTTTTACTCTTTTTCTAAGCACTTAATTGTACTTTTAATTATTTAACCTTCTATTTTATTTTTTCTCCTTGTTTTTTTTTTTTTTTTTTTTTGTATTTAGAAACAACAAAAGCCCTTTCTTAAACCCTGACACTTAAAACATTTGTGTCACCATAACTCTTTTTTTTTTCTGAGATACATGCATCTAACCTCATGTATTTAATGGGCTCTAGGAAGGCAGAAACCAAAGCAAATAGGCTTTGCATGTGGATTATTAGCATCATTTCGTTATTTGTTTGCAAATGATCTGTGGGTCTTTTGTTCAGTCTATTGACACAAGTTCCAGACCCTGACACAGTGAGCACTGTTCTAGATGCCTCTGTATACCAGCGCAGGCACTGTGATCCTCTCCCTTTACTGTCTATTCCAGTCCTAGATCTTTGTCAGTCCCCATTCGGCACTGGGTTAATACTGAAGAGAAAGCACATGGTCTGTCCAGCCTCAAGGGTTCTTTGCCGACTTGGAAAAGTTTAGGTATTCTCTCAGGTATCTTCCACTCGTTTTCTCTTGAGAGAGAGGAGAGAAGGAAGAAATCAAAGGCCAGTTGAAAAGGGGAAAACAAATCGTCCCGTAGGCGTGGTGAAAGAGCTTGGCGAGCCGATTCCGAGGCGAGCAAAAATCCACCCAGACCCTGGGCTGCAAGCAAAGGAGGCCTGGACTGGGCCTAGCACTGTTGGTATGTGGGCAGGGGGCCCACCTAGGGTCGGAGCCCTTGTTCTCTCTGATCGCGGGTTCGGGTCTGGTCTCTGGAGGGAAGCTGGGCCTCCAGTTTCACGCCTTCTTCTCCTCCCCAGGAGTGAGCGACAGCTCCCCCTACCACAGCCCCAAGGTGGAGGAGTGGAGCAGTCTGGGCCGTAACAACTTCCCTGCCGCTGCGCCGCACGCGGTGAACGGGCTGGAGAAGGGAGCTTTGGAGCAGGAAGCCAAGTACGGTCAGGTGAGGAGGTGAGGGCCGGGCAAGGTGGGAACGCGCGCCATCCCCCTGCAGCTTGAAGCCCCGCCGTGGTCCGGCGACGGCGAACCCTGGCCCTTTCTGAGCCTCCACTGAGGGCAAGCCCAGGCCGACCACTCGTCGCGGCCTCGAGCTCGATCCCTGGTGGATCGTGCAAGACCAGAGCGCTCACTCCCCGAGTTTGGAGCGGCCCGGGCCAGTGCCTCCAGGCCTCAGTGGTCTCCTCCATAGGGTCGCGGAGGCCGCTCTCAAGGTCTTTCAGCTGCTGGTTCACGGAGATGCAAAGCCAGCGCCTAGTGGCCTTGTTACCCCACCCTACCCCCCACGACAGGAGCGGCCCCCAGCCCAGCGTCCGCGAAACGCAAGCCCTGAGGTCGGGGCCCTGAGGGTCCTCGCGCTTCTACATTTCCGTGGCCGTGGCCCTCAGAAAACGAACAATCTTGGTGTGCTCTGTCTGAGTTAACGGGAAGAGAGGCAACCAGATAAACTTAATAAAGTCACCATTTCTCCATTAAAGGTCACATCGTAATCTCCCAAGGGAGATTAGTGAGAAAACCTCAAATTAAATGGACTGGCTGTGGACCGTTTCATTTTTCTTTCCTTTGTCCCTCCCCTAACCGCCCCCCTCCCCAGAAAAAAGCAAGCAACCGTCAAAAGTCCAAGAATTTTGTGCCTAGATTCATCACCACCTCGGAGTCAGTAGTTCCTAAACTTAAAAAAACAACAACAAAAAATAACTGGGTAGGCTTACAAATTTCTTAACCCTAAACCTCATTTCCAAAGTTTCAAAATGCCCAGCTTTTGTTTTTATTATTTTGAAGTCTTAAAAGATCAGAAACCAGCTTTCTAAATTAAATGAAGTTTGCTACTTTTATTTACTTGTAAAAAAAAAAAAAAATGCCTCTGTTAAAACAGAATCACAATGCATTTAGTAGCTCTTCCATGGCAAATTAACCGTCTCAGAAACAGAGCAGCAAACAGAGTCCTTTCCTGAGTCGGTTTCTGCAGAAAAGAATGCCAGTGAAAAACGAATAAGAATGTGTGTGTATATATATATATATATATATATATATATATATAGTAACAAAAGGCTAGTAATTTTCAGGGAAGAGCCAGAATAGTACAAAGGATATGAGTTCGATCCCATCCCCTCGCACAAGGACCTCTTTAGCAAGTTACTCAACGTTTCTTTAAGCCTCAATTTCTTCATCTGTCAAAAGGGAAAGCAATAATAGTTCAACCTAGAGATAGTGTGAGGATTCAGTGAGATAATGCAACCATATCGCACACAATAAGCATTCATTAAATATTACCTATAATTATAAATGCTGGCTAGAAAAGACTTTTAATTGTTTTTTATCAGAATATTCCTTGCCTAGGGAGTTCATTGTCAAAAAGTGTCAAGGCATTTTGTTCTAAGCAATAGTTTAACATAGTAGTAGCAAGCATTTAGTCCGTATGCAGTACTTTTTATTAGATCATCATTTCTTAGGAAATTGTGAAGTATAGAGTTCAAAAATAGTCTAAATTCCCCTGTGTAGTTGATGAGACCTGTTTGTAACAGCAGTCTCACAACCCCAAACTATTTTATAGTTAAATATTTTTATAGTTCATTTTTACTCTTCTGAATTATAGACCTAGAATTTAAACTTGTTTAGAAATGGTTACATATTCACTTCAAACCTAAATGATAACATATTTAAATTTAAATTTGAAACATTATTTCAAACTGTCTACTTTGTATATTCTGAACATTAAAAATGGATTGAGTTTTATATACTGAATATTGAATCACTAAATTCTTAGACTTCTAGAAGTAAGCAATTCAAAAAGTGTTAAAATAAATATTGCTTGAAGTACTTAAGAGAACAAGTTAAATTATTTACCAGAAGAAAAAGATGGCTTATATATAATAAACTTGCCTTTCTTGAAAATTTTTAATTGTAATGTGCAAATTTTACACATTGTCATGCATTAAGATAGCCCAAAGGATGTAAATTTCCAAAACAATGAAAAGTTTCTAAGTACAATACAAATCAGTGGGTGCTCTATTATAATTATCAAAATACTGCTTAGTGCTGAGGATGTACTAAGTAGCCACATAAACTTAGATGATGTCATTTTTGTGAGCAGATTTGGAATTTAAACATTGATTTCCTGGAGGGCAAAATTGCACATTGATATTTTCCTCATGGACAGATATGCAAAGATTAGGTATGTTATATACGCATGTGCATTTCTCTTACCAATACTTAAAGAGCAGATTTATTTTTTAAAATGCTATCAATTTATTCCAACCAAAATGTAAACTTAAATAGAGGTAACATGGGTTTGTTGTTTTTTCTCCATTCATGCTATGAACAAATCTTTTAAGGTCTTTGGTTTTTGAAAAAAGAGGTTTCCCAAAATTTTTGCACGTTTTCAAGGCATTTACAACTGTTATTATAGATTACAGTATTATATAATATCAATTTCATTTTAGTATACAAAAAGATGAAATTAAGAATTCAGAGCCATAGGGCTTAGAACTTACTATTTCCCCAGAAGGCCTCTGTAAAATTACCAAAAGGGGTGAATTGACAACTGATTGTAGGTAAATTGATTACTGTAATCTAGAGTTTCTATTTTCAGTTTGAACTGCAGAGAAAGATGCCTGATTCCTAGTAATTGGAACATTTCAGCCAGGCACACTCTTATCTTTGGCTTGTGAAACATTAGGATATTCAAACTTATCTTAAACATTAATATTATGTAATTCAGAAATCCATAATTCTACCTTTGAATATATAGAAAAATAATATTTATTCTGCCTTTTCTCCTACATTTAATATTGGGCTAGAAATCATTAATCACATGAGATTCCGGATGACAACAATGTCCTCTGGTTCTCAATGGCTGGTTCTCTTCTGTTGAAAGCCTAAAACCCCTATGAACACAATCACAAAGCAAAATAATATTGGATAGAAAAACCTAAGGGTTGGAATATATCTGCCCTTTGAAATATTAGTTAGCAAATTGATGCCTTCTTTTAAAAAATAGTTCATAAATAGTTGTATAGTTCTTGAACAGTTTTCTACCATTGGACAAACTTTCTCAGAAAAAATACACTGCACATCTGTTACTCCAAGTAAAAGTAATCTGAATGTTTGATTTATAAACTTTGAATATCTTCAGTTTTTAGATAACATATGTTAGCTCAAACAGCAAGTTTACTCTAACATTTAGCTACAAATTGGTATGTCAGAAATGGAGAATAATCTGTAAAAATTTCAATTTAATGAAAAATAAGATTAGAGTTCAAATTGTGGAAATAGTTGAATTTGTAGACAAAAATTCATCTGAAACCCTTATGGAACATTGTGTTTGAAATGATGATAGTATTTCACAATTGTGAATGTAATTTTCTAGTGCATTATTTTTCAATCTGGCTGTCTATTTAGACATTGATTGGTCTCGTAAAAATATACATGAAGTTACTCTGAATTTTTGTTCATATCAAATAAAGTTAATAATTTGTGATAAGATATATATATATATTTATTCTTTATAACCTTTATAGAGAATAAAATCTTAAGAAAATGCTAATAGAGTCTTTAACAGTCATAATGAGAACCATCCTTTGACCTTGTTAACTTTTAGGCAGTAGAGTTATAAGACAAAAATTAATAGTTAAATACCAGTAAATGTGTCAGTAAAAAGGCAATTAAAATTTTTCAAAGTCATATCAATTTAAATACAATTCTGGAGATATAAAATTTAGAAACAAAATTTAAATAGCAGCTTTACATTCCCTTGTTGTTGTTGTTAAGTGCTGTCGAGTCGGTTCCGACCCATAGCGACCCTGTACAGGGTTTCCGAGGGTGTAAATCTTTACGGGAGTAGAAAGCCTCATCTTTCTCCCGCAGAGCAGCTGGTAGTTTCAAACCGCTGACCTTAAGGTTCGCAGCCCGATTCGTAACCACTACACTACCAGAGCTCTTAGAGACATTTAGATCTGCAGTATGTTAACTCAGCATAATTCAGATCCTTTTGAATGACTATTGAAATCATATGGACAAATGCCATTTCATTTGATCAGATTTGTTCTACCAGGTCATTGTATAATAAATTAAAGAAGGAAGAACAACAATCAGAAAAATAATTTCATGAATAGAGAGAAAATCTTGCTTATTTTCAGACCCCAAATATTTTTCTTGCTTATAATATGTAGGTTGCAATTCTCTGTGAAGTGCATCAATATTTGTGGCTAAATCCACTTTATTATAAAGTCAAGGTCAACTCATTTTATCATAAGGGCAGGGCCATAAAGGACTGATGAGTGGATGAAAGATAGTAGATAGAGGACCAGACAGACCCTGTTATTTACTTTTTCTTCAAGAGAGAAAATGTTGAGTAGACAATTCCCAGAATTTGAAGAATAGTCTAATTGCCAGACAGTTGCAATACCAGTTTCTATTCTTGGTCACTAGTGTTTGGATACTAATGCATTTCCATTTTCTCTAGGGGGACTAAATGGAACCATAAATCAAATAATGAAATTCCTAGGTTAGAACTTTTATTTACTTTTTTCAACAGCTTTATTAACTTTGCTTACTTAAATTGTAATGCTTATTCTGTGATAAAGAGTGCCTAGTTTTGTTTTGTTTTTGTAAAGCAAGAGTACCACATCTTTTTCTTTCACAAGCCTGCTGTTAGGTTTACTTATTTTTTAGGGAACATCTATGATGTATCCTATCTTGTGGGGATGTTATTGTTGTGTGCCATAGGTTCCGGAGCTGATTAAGGCATAGCCATTTGCCAAAACAGCTTCTCCACATATCAAGTTATTTTCAAAAAACTGGCAAATCTATACTTCTATCATTTCAGAACAAGTCAAATAAAAACTTGTACTTACATTCATTCTTGTGGTAACCTGAACTAGAAATATGTTCCATCTTCTGTATTTTCCCAGCTTCCTTTAACATCAGTGGGGTGAAAACTGTCTTTTTCTAAAAGTGATTCAACACAGCAAATACCTTACTTGCACTAGGACATGAGATTTGGCCTATTTGACTTTGTATTATTAGTGAATCTCATTCTCAAAATTAGGTTGAAGATAGTTTGCTTCAGGGAGAAGCCTTGGACGGTTCTGTAGAGGAAAGAAATCTCATAGGCTGTAATAGAAGATCCACATGAAAAAAGGGTTGATGGATTGAGCTCTTATTTATGGAATCTTTAGGTAAAGTCATTTTCAAAAATGAGATTTCCATTACATGGCCATTGCTGGGGTTTCATTTGAAAAATTTGTTTACTTTTCCCAGGGGATTCCATATGTTAGTTGATTTATAAATCATATTTACAATCCAATTAAATGGAGTAATTTAGCATGTTTGCCCCCACTATATTTATGGTGTACATTCTGTTTAACTAGCTTTTCAGATTAATTACATGCCCTTCACTGAAAACATTAAAACAGATTTGGGAGGTTTAAGTCATGTTCTCTTTTACTGGAAAAGGATAAACAAATCAATGCTACCTGCAGTTGTTTTTCCTTTGCCGTGGAAAATTTTACTCCTTCAGTGATTGCTTCATAAATAACAATTACTTTACCCAGTAGAGATTTATATCTTTTACTAATGCCATGTTTCAAAATTAATAGTGAGAAATTGATGTGTGTATTGAGTTCCAGAATGAACGGATAGTGAGGGGGGCAGGAGGCAGGTACATTTTAAAGCATGTTTACTCTCTCTTCTTGTTTATGCCATTTCCCCAAGTATCTAAATCTGAATTTTAAAGGTAGGAACTAGAATTAAGACAGACTCTCCCATCCCCTGTGTAGGTCATAATTTAACCTGAGGAAAAGCCAAGAGTTATTAGTATATTGTTTTAAGGTTAAAGATTTCTATCCCCTCCGCCCACCGCTTTTTTTTTTTTTTTTTTAAAGCAAACACTTTAGCCTCCCCTTGCATTTTTCTCTGAGTTCAACCCTCTCTAAGTTTCTCCTCCTATCTTCCCTGAAATGACCCTAAATAATTTGTGGATTTTAGGAAAAGTTGAAATATTGAATACCAGTAAGAATTACATAGGGTCCTGGTGTGACACTGTAGGATAAGCACTGAACTGCTAGCGGCAAGGTCAGTGGTTCATACCTACCAGCTGCTCCTTGGGAAACCCTATACAGGATTACTATGAGTTGGAACTGACTTGATGGCACTTAACAACAACAACAAGAACAAGAATTGTAATATAAAAACAAGTTTGGAGCATTAAATATGAGAAATAGGGGAAATACTTGTAGTATTTTTTTAATACTTGAAAACAGAATATTCAGGTATTTAGTCACTAAAAACCTTATGAATAGCAATGGAACACTGTCAGAGAACACCAGAGTAGAATATTGAAACATGATGAAGAGTACCACAGTATTGTCAGCAATGGACTAAAGTGTAGCAATGATTGTAAGGTTGGTGTAGGACGGGGCAATGTTACATTCTGCTGTGCATAAGGTCACTATGAGTCAGTACCGACTCCATGGCACCTAACAACAACAACAAACAGAATATAGTCATGAAATAAGTGAGGCACCTGAAGTTAAGACAGGCCTAAATCCAATGTTCTGCCTCCTGCTAAATTCCAGAAGCTTTGTGTGAGAGTCCAGTTCAGGCTGGTTTCTTGGAGGTCCATGTTCTAGGGGGAACATCTCTGGGCAAAAGTGGTCCATGTAAGAGGATTGTAGACATTGCAGCAGAATAGCTGAAGAGGCAGAAAAGACACATGAAAGAACAATAGAAAGGGCCCCAGTGTCAGAGGTAGGAGAGGGAAGGGAAGACAATAAAGCAAATATTTCAGAGAGAACTGTCAGTTTGGATGACAGGAACACAATCCAAAGAACAGTTAAGTCGTGATGAAAATAGATAGAACTCACCAACAGATTTTCTCCACTAATTGGAACGATGCTTCTGTCACGTATAATGATCTACCTTTTAACTTTATGTATTTGCAAAATGCTGAGCAAAGCTTTACATTATTTTAAAACTTTTTTTAACCTCCTCAGATTCTTAGTATCCTGATTTTATTATTCTTGGTGTACACTGCTGTTAAGTGGTATAAAATACTGATTAATGCTAAATGAGAAGAGGCCAAATACAGATGTGAACACCTTTTCATTACTAAATAGGAATCATTCCTTTCCAAATTGGTTTCTCAAAGACTTTTGGGAAACCCTAAATAAAAATGATTAGAACTGTAATCTCTTCTGCAATATGAAACGAGCCATTCTCAAAAAAAAAAAAAAAAAAAAAAAGTTTTAGAGGTTAAGAAATAGAATAAGATCTAGCAATGCAAGTCAAGATCTAGAAGAGGAAGGGATCTTTTATCAGGTGCTATCTCAAAAGATGCTCTAATTTGAGATGGAACTCTGCCTACCTTTTAATTGTCCAGGAAAAGCGGCGTGATACTACATAGGACTCTGCACTAGTCACTGACTTGCTAATTGGACTTAGGTTACTGGGTAAATCCCTTGGTCTAAATTCTTCTGTGGAAAAAGAAGAAACAATTTCTTACATTTCAACAGTGATACACAGTGGCTAAAAAATACATCATAATCCTTTGGAACCCTAAAAATACATTTTGATTTCAATTGAATGTTATGTTACAACTTATTACATTATCTTGTAATTATAACTTCATTAGTTTACAGTGAGCGATATGATGAATTAATCATCATTATTTGGTATAATATGTTAAATCTGCCTGGGTGCCTGAAGTGCAGGTACTCTGACAGAAAATCATGAGGGGTGTGTTCCTATAGACTAAGGCTACAAGGTCACAAGGTCAACCTCTCTACTTTTATTTTTATTTGACAGAAATCTATAAGCACTATTAAATCACACCCATGTATTTATTCTGTAACCTACTTACCTACTCTATACTGAGAAAATAGTTTTAAAAGACTTCACTCTTGCATTCTCATAGATGCGGGAGTAAAAGTAATAACCAAATGAATTAAATGAAAAAAACAAAAAAATCAATTTGTATGCTGCAATTGCAATTGAAAAAAGTATCTCACTAATGTCTGTTTACTTAACTCTAAGGATTAAATAATAATTCTATTATTTAGATTCTCTAGTTACAAGGAAATAAAATATGTTCGTTCATCATGTCATTAGGAAACAAAATTTACTCTTTATTCCTGAAAAATGTTGAAATTGAGGGAGAAAATTAAGGTACTTGAATAAAGATGCTGAGTATTCCTGCCAGAACCAGAATGAGGAATCAGGTTTTTTGGTGTTGTTACTAGTAACGAAATCAACAATAATTTATTGACTGCCAAGAGCGCACTTGACTTGTCAGGAGGCTTGCCTGACAGAACTTTTTTGTTTGTTTGTTTGCAAACTAAGACTTCACATTTAAATTTATATCAAGAGATTTACTCATGTGGCTTTTCAAAATTCCCAACATAGGGTCCCCAAACTTTGCAAGCAAATATTCCAATTTTAAAATCATGCATATGCAGTTTTTTTTATGTTTGGACATAGACAGTTTTCTTTCTGATAAAATACACCCAACTTTCATCAAACCCTGGAAGAAATACACCCAACTTTCATCAAAAGCCCTTACAAGACCAACTGCCTGGTTTTGCATGTTCTTTGTTCAATAGGCATTTTCAACATGACATTTTAAAACATTGCCCATGTTTTATTTAACAAAGGCAGTGACAGTACACACTCTGAGCCCTTTGCTGGAAGTGAAAACTACACAGGCCCTTCACAAATGCCTTAGCAAAAGAGCCAAGCAAAACCAAAGGCAATAGGGATAGCTGGACAGATTCTGAGAGTATTTAATTATCATTAATTCCTTTCTCACCCTGCATCTCCTTCCGATAGTTCCAAATAGCAAACGCAAGTAAAGTGAATGTTCTCATTGCAATCTCAAAGCCTAATAATAGGAGTAAAATCTTGCCTTTTGAGATGTTTGCTTAGGTAGCAAGATTGTGAATGCCTTCAGAATATGTATAAATAAGGTCATATCTAAAAAACCAGAAAGTAGAGTCTAAATGTGGTGACCTTACTCAGAACTTACATTCTGCTTCTTTCCAAGAATCTGTGAAATGTCAACTACTGTAATGCAATTATTATTTTTTTACCTCTTCTCTTTCCTACTTCTCTCAGGCACCAAATGGCCTCCCAGCTGTGAGCAGTTTTGTGTCAGCGTCCAGCATGGCTCCTTACCCTACCCCGGCTCAAGTGTCACCTTATATGACCTACAGCGCTGCTCCTTCTGGTTATGTTGCTGGACATGGGTGGCAACATGCCAGCGGCACCCCGCTTTCCCCTCACAACTGTGACATTCCCGCATCGCTGGCGTTCAAGGGAATGCAGGCAGCCAGAGAAGGTAGTCACTCTGTTGTGGCTTCTGCACTCTGATGGGGAATTCCGTCTCCAGCAGCTTTACCAGGTCTCCCCCCTCAGCACATCCTCCCCTCTTCCTAGGCCTCAGACCCCAAGCCTTCTGTCCCCAGCCTTCCTGCCTCCAGAGCTGGCTTTACAGACTCACATCCATTGTGCTGATGACATTTAACTATTTCTTGCCATAACTTCTCTCTCACAGAAAACCTGACCTGACCTTCAGGATTTTAAAGCAAAAGCTACGTTAAGAATTGACTGAGACATTTGGGTTGCCCACACACTGTTTTTACGTAGTGAAGAAACCTGCACCCTCAAAGGGCTTAAAGAACTTTTAAAAACTAGTCTTTGGTAAAACCACACATGTATATTTATTCTAAATCAACATTAACTTTCGAAATGTGCAATTGTTGAGATTTTGCAAAATCAATAAAGGAAAATACATATAGAAAAAAGTTGTGTTACACCCTCTAATCAAACACCTTAACCAAGTAAGTAAGCCTTAATTCATCATTAGGAAACCAATCAGTAATTGACTTGTTTGAGTGATCCTTTGTTTATTTTAAAAAATAACATATTTCGTTGAAGATATGTGTAGGGCCCAAGCAATATCTGAGTTTAGCTCCTCTTGGCAATTTGACTTGGTTCCAAATACAATAATGTTTATATTTTCCATGAATTTGTAAATATGGACTCTAAATGGCATTTGTGTTTTCCTTCCATGGGCTATCTTTCTTCCCCACCCCAGATATGTATTTTTTCTTTTTGAAAAGGTGACTTTCTGGCAACATCTTTGTCTCTGTTTGATGGTGGTTGCTTAGTCTCCTGGACCTGAACTTGCCCCCAAATTTTGTGTGTGCAGTGAAGGTTTCAACATCTCATGAAGGACATTTTTTTTTTTTTTTCTACAGCAGAGGACTCAAAAAAGCAGATAAAACAAGCCAGTCGCCCATTTTGTATCCTAATTAAACAACACACATGCCAAGCGTAAAAAGACAAGAGGGTGGAAAATGTCTGAACAAGAAGGCTCTAAAGGAAGTCACTTAGAAACTTAAGTTTAATGTGAAATGCTTTGCAAAGACACTTAAAATGAACTTTATGTTGAGAAAACCACTGTGAAACGAAATTGTACTGTTATTGTTGGCTTACCTGTGTGTTCCGCAATTTCAGCCCAAAATTACATTGTAATTTAAGGAAAATGTAAAATTCTGCTCTAATGAATGTAAAAATGGCTTGCTGTGAAGTTTACATTGTTGTACAGAAGCATACTTCATGTGTAGGCAGTGGTGGTGGTATTAGAAATACAAATGCTATTTAATTTTAACAAACTACCCTTAGTCATTTTTGGAGTTACAGGACAGTTTAATGGATAATCTTTCTAAACCAGTTTATTCTTATCCTTAGTGTTAATAATCGAGCTGTGGGGTATGTGTATGTGTGTGTGTGCTCATGCGTGAGTATGTGCTTATATGTTGTATTTTAAAACAACTGATTTTCTTGGGCATAATTCTACAGTTTTGTTGTTGTTGTCTTTTTTTTTTTTTTTTAATCTCTTCTGTTTAGAAAGTTCTTCCTTGCTTGGCAATATAGGCTTGAAAATACCTTTAAAATTTTTGGTACAATTCATCTATTGGAATTGTTAATATATTGCGGGTTATTTTTGGTGTTAATTCTGTGCAATAGGTAAAAGGGCACATCACTAGGTATGGATGTTGAGCATGCATTTGTTAGGTCATTTTGATTTCTTCTTGTCTGTGCTGTGCACGGTCTACATGGGCAATCCAGTTCTGCCACATCGGTTTCATGGCTTTATTTGAAACTCAGATGGCTAGATTAGCTAGGTTTTTGAAATCACTAAGATATAAACAGTAAGGAGATTTCTGACACACAAGTTAAGTTCAAGGAACTGCTTTTTCCAAGCAGCAGATATCTTACAGAGAACTTTGAACTGCATTTTATTTCTAAAGCAACCGAAATTCAGTGCTACAAACAGAGGATTATAACTTCAGGAGAAGAAGAAGCAGAGGAACTCTCAGGGCCATAGTCTTCCTTTGATCTTATAAAACTCTCAATGACATCTGGAGTTCCCAGTCTGGTGAGAAAATAGACTATAAACCGAATGAACCAAAAGGACCAGTACAATATTTTGGTGGAAACTTTAAACCACACTGTACAGGGACTCTCCTGTCCAGCAAAACTGATATGAGGTACTGAATTCTTCCTTGTCAAATGTGTTTAGGTGGCTATAGGAGTCTTAAAGAAAGAAAGAAAGAAATCAATTGTTTGTATGAAACACAACTGTTAAGTTTCTTTATCTAAGTTAAGGAATCTCTTGTTATTATGCTATTTATAATATTTTTACTGGCTCTTGTATCACCTAATATCAATGCTACCAAGGTTTTCTTCCACCCTTCCCCCGCCCCTCACCAGTCTTGTCTTAACAACAGTGAATTCTCATGGAGTAAAATTTAAAAGGCAACAGAAAGCCCAAATGCCATTTGCTATTCAAAGCAAATTATTCTTTAAAGCCACTTTAAAAAATAAGAGATGGAAAATGGGATGGGATCTGGGGTTGGGATTGTTTAATTTTAAAAAGCTATTATTGTTGGTTAATGTTGGCATATCTTCTCTGTGTCTCAGAGGGTAACAGTGTTGTTTTAAAACTGGCAAATGCACTCTTCAGAGATCCTATTCTATCCCATCCACGTGGAGAGGTTAAAGGTTTCATTTCATGGCCTCTGTGCAGGTAGGACTTTCACAGGACTACCTACAAGGACAGAATGCAGTTGTGCAAAAAAGACACGTTTTTTTTTTTTTTTGTTTTCCTCCTTAGTTTTTCTGCTTTTAGTAATCCTCTTATTGAATATTGGGCTGAAATATAAATTAAAAAACACTTGGAAAGGATGTACAACAGAAGGCTGTGTATGTATATACAGTATGTCTAAAAGCCTTTTATTTTTATACTTGGAATGCTCTAAATTAATAAAAAGTAATAATTATCATGTTATCTTTTATTATTTTATTTTCAAAATCCTTTAGTAAAATTTCTACATAGTAGAAATATTCCAGGGTGGTAGTTAAGAACTGGTGCCATCTAGAATATGCAGATATAGACTTTAGCTACTTAAGTAGCATCTTTTTAGGGGTCAGGATAGGATGCTTCTATCAAGACCAAGAAGATATTTTTTTGGAATGCATGTTAACACAGGTATCCTTGCAAATGTTAACAATGTACTTCTATTTTAAAAAGTTTTCCCTTTCATAATAAAACATTGTATATAATAGACTTCACACTTGAGCTATCACTTCAAACTAATAACCTAGAAATGTAGTTTTCTACTACATATTCTTCTTTAAGATTGATATAGGTAAGGATACTGAACAAAGAAAGATATTTGGATGCAAATACAGACAGCAAAAATGGGAGCAAGAAGTAGTTCCAATTTGTGATTTAAAATGAAGAAATTTCAGCCATAGAACTTGTCTTCAAAGACAACAATGTGAAGGAAAGTAGTTCAATATAATTTCATGCTTTATATTACTAAAAAAAAAAAAAAATTCAACAGATTTATATTTCTAGCATTGTACCAAAAAAATTTTTTAAAGGCCATGTTAGCACACTTTAAAACATTTTTCTTGTGCCCTTTATTATTTCTTACTTAGAAAAAACTGTTCAAATTTTTTATCCAATTTTTCTTTGAATAAGTCTTTAAAATCTGGCCACCAAAGATTTATTGTCAAGCATTTAATTTAAACATTTCTTGACCTCTTAGGAAAATTTAATTATCCATACAATGAATAATGTTCATTGTGAAACAATGTAAGAGGAGCATGTGACAAACTTAGATTGCTTTTTTAAAGTATATCTGACTTCTATGCTATTTTATATTCAATTTTTATACCTCATTGCTTTATATAATTTTTATTCTTTCAGTTTTACATATACAGCCCAAACTAAAGTCTTAATGTATCTACGGATATGTTTAAACTATCAAAATATGCTGTTTTTCACCTAAACTGTTTCCCCCTTTATAATTGCATGCTCAACTTGGCTGATTAGTTTTTCTCCTCTTCATGTTGCTGCTTAGCAAATACACTTTTATCTCAAGGAGGGAAGACACTTTGTAGGCAATCACCAGTTCTCCTGAAGCCATGAATACGTGTATTCATAAACCAGCAGCATCACTGCACCACCTAGAAAAGAAAAGGACTGGCTGTTTGTCATCAATCTTGTGAAATATCAGCATTTTCCTACCGGATTTCTGAATTCATAAAGCTCCATGCAGCTTATCTAAACAACAGTTCTGGAACTCCAACACATCTATCTATCTATCTATCATCTATCTATCTATCTATCTATCTATCTATCTATCATCTATCTATCTATCTATCTATCTATCTATCTATCATCTATCTATCTATCTATCTATCTATCATCTATCTATCAAACAATTGTGGAAAATTCTTAGGGTAAAATCAAATTCTTATTTCTCATCAGATTCTTTATTCAGTTACTTTTCATTTTAAAAGGTAAATAAATATAGACATATTTAGTCATGTAAGGGCATTCAGCTTTCTTGTGAACAGAAATCTTCAAATTCTTCGTATGTTGGCAAAATATGTATCTTTTTCAATACATAATTTGGTCTTACTTACATTCAAGGAGGCAATCTCTAAAATGGTGCTTGGCCTGAGGGATGAGTCTGGTTTACTCTTACAGCTTTCAAACCAGATTGCAATGTGAAAAATACCTTCAAAATATATTTTTTTAACTGTATTGAAAACTTAAAAGGAGTTTGAAAGATAGCTTTCATTCATCTCTCTGCCTCAGATCTATATAGATTGAACTTGAAAATTTGGTAGAAGGGGCTGGGTGGCATGAGACCATTATTTGTCTTGGAAGCGAAGAGTTATGTAACTGGCTGCAAAGAGGCTTGCTGTGCAGTATGTGAACAGGAATACCCTACAGGAAAATAGGCACTGAGACTGCTGAATAGCCATTGGGAGCAACACTTGTATGTGGATGAGTTTGTGCTCTATTTGATGTGGTGATAGCACTTGTCTTGTGCTATCTGTTCATGTGGAACTGCATGAAAAATATTACAAAATCAAAATGTGGACAAACATACTGAGCATGACTTAGAGATGACTTGCTGACTTTGGAAACAAATAGAATTTGATTTCGATCTTAGTTATCTTGTACCTAATGCCATATGCTCTTTTCTTACTTTCTTTAATCTATAGGATGCACATGCTTGTATAACCATATACATAAGATGATTGTCTGCTTGTAATTTTCATTTTTAACTCATGAAGACACTGTTTTATTACACTCCTCTCAGCTGCCTTACCCTTCTTTTGTTGTTGTTATGTGCCGTGGAGTCGGTTCTGACCCATAGCGACCCTGTACAGGGTTTCCGAGGCTGTAAATCTTTACGGGAGCAGAAAGCCTCATCTTTCTCCTGTGGAACGGCTGGTAGTTTCGAACTGCTGACCTTGCAGTTCACAGCCTGATTCGTAACCACAACACTACCAGAGCTCCTTGTACCCCTCTTTAAGCTCTGGCAAACACAAAAGGACATATAACCGAGGGTGCTAACATGTATGTCAGAGCTGCTTTTACTCTTATTAACAGGTCACAGTCTAAGACAAGAACATGCAGAATTAGAGTCTTTGGTAGCTAAGTGATATGAGAAGTTTAAACCACAAACTTCAAGAGTCTCCTTTTGTGGGTGAGGTACCTGATCATTAGCCATATAAAGCTGCTAGGCTGTTAAAAAATAAGATGGTATTAGAGTAAATGCTTCTCCAAATCAAAGAATAAAATTCAGGGTACCTTTCTTTTCTTTATTGTGTTTTTAAAATTTTTTTACCCTGAATTTGTCTTTCTAACTTTCTTTCCACCTTTCTTTCCTTTGAAGATGCTAGGATTCGCCTTTTTGGAATAAGGTTCTTGGATAAGATTTCCAATTTGTTTTAGTACAGGGTCGCTATGGGTCGGAACCGACTTGACGGCACTTAACAACAACAACAACATAAGTTCCCAATAACCCTTTTCATTGGATTCAACACCACAGCAATTCAGAACACGTCATGCAAAAAATTTGCAAGCCTCTATAAAATTTGGGGTCAGATTATTTAAAAGCTTTGAAATAAGGTTCCAGTCAATTGCTATTTTAGTTACACTTTCCCTGGTCACTACCCTTTTTGGGCTCATTCTCTTCTGAGAATAGCTAGTTTAGGGATAGTTCTATGATATTTCTCTAACACTAGGCCTACTAGTAGGTTTTTACTGTGTGGTGAAGGAAAATATCATATATTTTCCGAGATACACTAAAGTCCTAGCATTTTTTATTATTGGGTTAGTTTTTATATACAGGCCAATGACTAACCGGAGGTAGATTTGAATCTCAAATATGAAACCATATCCATGCTGAAATGCCTAGGAAGGTTTTGTTAGGAGGATAGGGAATTGTGGAAGTACTTTCTAAATACATGAAAGTGTGAACTGTTCACCAGCTTCAGTTCACAGACTGTTATTCTTTATCTCAGGGTGGTAGAAATGCTAGTTCATTGGGCTGAGAGCTAAAGATAAATATGCATGCCATGTGACTGTGGAAGGAGTAGAGGATGTTGGAAAAGGAGAAAATGGGAGGAATGGGAGAAGGTTCCAGGGAAGCTTACCAGGATGTCTGTCTAAAGTAGGTGAGTGTGGCCTGACTGAAAAACAAAAAGCAAAATGTGTGGCCTATTGCATACTTATGTACTTATTCATCAGGCTGCTTATAATTCAAGAGTATTTGCCCAGACAGTTGAGTTTGCAGCAGTTAGTTTCTTATCTGTTTTACATAGAGGCAGCTAACTCTCCCTGTGGGAATGGCAGCTGGTTGATTTTGGGGACTAGCATCCTGAGGTAAGACCCTGAGCCAAAAGGCTCCACAGTCATGCCAGGAAAGGTGAGGGCCAGACTGTGGCTTCACCACTCTCCTGAAGTGGCTGTGAAGACAAGTGGCTGTTTCTGTTCATGAAGGCAAGTTGCACTCTTCTTTTACTTTTGAAATTAAGTTTAGCCAGAGCAACAGTGAACTAGGAGCACCAGAGAAGCTTTTGTTGGGCTGCCCCCTCATCCAATGAAAATCCTTCCCTTGAGAAAGATGCCACTGTCAAACTCAGAAAACTGTCTGCGGATCCTTTCCTACTGACTTCAGTCAGTATTTAGCTCCTATCAGCCTCAAGCAAGGTCATGTTGCTGTTGTTAAGTGTCACTGAGTTCCAACCCATTGTGACCCTATATAGGGTTTCTAAGGAGCGTCTGCTGAGCTTGAACCGCTGGTCTTGCAGTTCAAACTGACTTTTCAGTCCAATGCATTAACCCACAGCACCACACCAGGACAAAGTTCATAAGCAGCAGTTTATAAACAAAGGTAGAACATTTCCAATGGATGCTTCAGTATCTTGAATAGTCATAGACAAGTTTATAGCCCCAAGTCTTCTGTCTTTCACAGTGTTAAGTTTTTATTACATTGTTGACAGATAAAAGTAAGAAACAAAGAAGTACTAGAACAAAGAAGGAAGGATATAAATTATTTAAAAACCCCATTACCTGGTCCAAGTCTCATAATCTTGGGAATCAGACCTTTGTACAAAGCAAAAAACCTATAGTCAGAAAGGAAAGAGCAACATTCTTATTATGAAAATAAAACAGAGTTGTACCTCAGCTTTATTGACAGTGTTGACTCAGAAAAAAAAAAAAAATTACACATATCCCAATCCAGACAGTATCTGGCTTTGTATTCTCTGCAATAAATAGGATGAAGGGAAAGAGTTAATCAATTCTTTATTACTCAAACTATGCTGATCTTGTCCAATCAGAAACAAGACTTTCATCAGCGAAATGGTTTTTGCTTTCAGGACAGGTCTTATTTTCAAGACAGCTGTTTATATGGACAAAGTGACTTTTGTAATTGAATTTAAAAGACCACAAACCCAGTCTTCCCATTAGGAAATATGATGCAGTTTAGATCAAAATAATAAAATATTACTTGTCTACTTGAGACTAAGATGTGGGTGAGGAGGGGTAAAGGGAAAAAAAAAAGAAAAAAACTGTCAGAAAAAAAGGCATATTCTTTAAAAATAAAAAAAAACATTTTCACAGAATTCTCATATAATTAGATGAATTTTGATTAGATTTACAGTCAGACTATAACAATCACATACTAATTGTTGTTTAGTATCATCAAGCCGGTTCCAACCCATAGTGACCATGTATAAAGTTTCTGAGGAGCGGCTGAGGCGTTTGAACCACTGGCATTGTAGTTAGCAGTCCAGTGGGCCAGCCTACCTACCCCACCATTGCATCTACTAACAGGGCATATAATATGCAACAGCACATTCTGCAAACTGACAAGTAAGCTGTTCACCTTAATATTCTAAGGCAAGTATACAGCGTATTGGATGATTATGGCTTTCAGTTTTGCCAGTATCTCATTAATGGGACTTTCTTGCAAAGTTTATCATACATTCTTCAGAGTTTATGAGACACACACCTAATTTAGAAGGGCCTGTCTGTCATCAAAATGAAGTACAATATAATCCTAGTCTGGCACTATAGGATAAGCACTGTACTACTAACCACAAGATCAGTGGTTCGAAACCACCAGCTGTTCCTCAGGAATCCTATACAGGGTGGCTATGAGTTAGAACTGAGTGCAGGACACTTAATAACAATGTCTGTCATCCAAATGGAAGTACAGTGCGGTTTTAACAATACCCAAGCTTTACATATTTATTAAATAAGAATGTGTTACCCTTCTTCCTGGTAGATGGTTGCCATTGTTTTAAAACAGGTTCTGTACTTGATCTGTCCAGGAACTGGCTGAGGCCCTTGAATCCTACTTTTGGCAACATCAAAAGGGATGTTCATGACTGAGGCTATTGTCCCCGAGAGAAGACCAATCCCAAATTTTCTCAAAAACTCCCAGGTTGGATCCTAAAAGCAAAGAAGAACAAAACAACAGAAAATGACACGGAAGCCCTAAATAGGTTCAACACTATAAAGCGATATGTATTTGAGCAGAGCATTGCACTCGGCGGCACCCTCCTGTTATTCTAGTGAAACACATTAGGATTTCCTAGGCTGGAACTTGTTTTCTTGACAATCCCATTGGCTATGTTTTTACACATGGTCTAAATTGCTGAAGTACACATTTCCTCACACAGGATTTATAAACACAGTTCATAAAGAGAGACTGGTATGGCATATGGGGATGATTTGTATAATTGGGCTTCACAATGTACTTAGTATTACTGTATCAAAACAGGAGAAATCCAAGCACACTATTAGCTAATTGGCCAGAATATTTTACAAATGACAGCAACTTCCACCATGAAGCCTACTAAAATGCTCATTTGTGTGTGGACCCCCAAATGTTAAATTAAATCAAGGCTACTCTCGGTCTGCTGCTATTCCCCTCCAGGTTTTTTGCATTTATTTTCACGTGTAGCTGATCCACTGTACTGAGAAGTGCTAGCTTCCTGTTATTAACAAACCAACTTGGGGCGGCTGCAAAACAGACTGTGACATTCTGTGCATTATAAACAGTAGTAAGTCACTGGACTAATTGGCTGAAGAATTTACAGCCCATTGTTTCTGAATCTTATTCTTGCTTCAAGGCAAAGGAAGAAAAGGAGAGCAGGAGCAGGAGAGAGAGAAAGAGAAGTAATATTTCTTCTTTCCATTTGAATTTAGGTCCTGCAAATTGGTCTGATTTGATTTTCCACCCTCCCCGCTCTGTTTTCTGACATCAAAGTATTTAATTAGGTCTTATGTGGGAGTCACTTTCCTTCAGCCTATTTTTATGCCCAGTGAGCTCACATTATGCTTTGTTATAATGAATTTTCTGGGAAGTTCTCATTATGTTTTCAGCCTCAGTTCTTGTCCTGCAGCGAGTTCATATCACATACCCTAAGCTGCTGTGGCGCTGTGGGATAATGTGTTGGACCGCAAGGTCGGTTTGAACCACAAGGTCAGAGGTTCAAACTCATCTGCCATTCTCAGAAACCCTATAGAGGGTCGCTATGAGTCGGAACCGACACGAAGGCACTTAACAACAAAGCTTCTGACTGGTACCCCACTTCCTTGAAGTGGGGAATATGCCAAGCACCCTCCCTCTGCTCTCTCTTTAACGCAATAGTTCAGAAGGAATCTTCAAAGAAGAATGATACAAGCTCGTGCTATGGTATTATTTTATCCAGCAGGAAAACTAGCATACCCAACGTAATTAAAAACAATAAGAATAATAAAAGGTAGGTCTCAGCATTTCATGCTAGTATCTTCTATATGAAGAAATAAACTTTAGAAGGTTCTAAAATTTTCAACTCAACTAAGGGCCTGTAACCATTATAAGAAACTCCTCAGTGGCTAGATAGAGAGAGCAAGGGGTTCCGTAATAATTCTTGGACCTGGGCCATACAGGTGCTGAGTAGGTTTAAAGGGATTTAAAAACCAACAGGGTGTTTCAACAGGAAAAACAATGCAGTGATTGCCATATGAGTGAGGTGTGTTTCAGTAGTTGCACACACACCCTCCCCACCCCACCCTGCCCCCTCAGCCTTGTTTTCTCTTTTACAAGGAGAGAAAAATTCCTTTATATTATCCTTCTCCATTATGGCACAGAAGCAAAGTGGATGTGGCATTTGGGCATTTGGGAGGACTTGGACAGGCATGAGTGCCCGTACTGTGTCTAAGGGAAGTATTTAGTACTTCCTGGTGTGGCGCTGTGGGTTAATGCACTGGACTGCAAAGTTGGTTTGAACTGCAAGGGTGGAAGTTCAAGCTCACCAGCCACTCCTTGGAAACCCTACACAGGGTCGCTATGGGTCAGAACTGACTCAACGGCATTTAACAACAACCTCTGTACTGTATGATTATTCTGAGAAATAAAAGTGATACAGAAGTTAAAGTGTTATGAATGGTGTACAAGCCTGGTGTTAAGTTCATAGTATTATTTATTATGTGGCCTGTTTCCTAAAGACTCAAATCACCTTGCTATCAGATGCTCTTATGGCATCCTATGATACAACCAGCCGAGGACAAGGGTGAAAATGCCGATATGTGTGTGCATTGTCCTTTGGGGATGATCAGGGGCTCTCTAAACAGTCAGCCTCTCCCATCTCCTTGTTGGCTGAGAATCAGAGTTTGGGTATAGAATAAAGTAAAGAATTCAATGAAGGTCATATATGAGTAAGAGGCTTTGCTGGGAGATCAAAACCCACAATCTCAAGCCATCATACTATTCATTAGCAAGAGTAAATGTTGACCCCATGTTTTCTATCCAACATTTCATGACACAATAATAAGGTCCCACAACAGATCCCCAATGCACTTGTGCATCAGAATTGCCTAGGGGAGCGTTATAATTACAGGTGTTTAGGTCCTATCTCAACTCTGTTGTTATTAGTTGCTATCAAGGTAATCCCAACCCCTATTTATGGTGACCCTGTGTGTATCAGAAGTAGCACTGTGCTTCATAGGAGTTGTCAAGGCTGTCACTTTCAAAACCAGATCGCCAGGCCTGCCTTCCAAGGAGACGCTGAGTGAGTTTGAACTAACAACCTTTTGTCTAGTGCCTAACCATTTAGACCACCCAGGGATTCCATATCTCAGACCTGCTAGGTTAGACTCTCCTGGGAAAATGCCTGGGACTGGGTTTAAAATCTTCTCAGGAGTTCTGAAACTGCCAGTCTGAAGATCCATGCCTGGGAATCTTGTATATTGATGTCCCGTGCAGGCAAAGCTGACCGTTGGTTGGAATCACTGTGGTCATTGTAAACCAGTTGCCCTTGAATCAATTTTGACTCATAGTGACCTGATTTGTGTCAGAATAGAACTGTGTTCCATAAAGCTTTCAAAGGCTAATTTTTGGAAAGAATATCACTATGCATTTCTTCGAAGATATCTTTGGTTGTTGAACCTCCAACCTTTTGGTTAGCAGTCCTGAACATTTATTGTACACCCAGAGACTCTGTGGGCATTCTGGGGAGGAGAAAAACCCTCTCTGGATTAATAAGATGTCCATTTAGCCTCTGGACCAATGGACAGTCTTTCTGTTTGTCACCCTGATCTGCTTTATAATAACAACCTAGCCTCTCAGCTCACCTCTGCTTTCTTTGGAATATGTTAGCAACCATTCTTAAATGACTACAGCTTCTCGAATGTCTCTTCTGTTTGTCACCTCTTGGTCATTTTCACTTCTTTGGCTCTAATTCCAGTTCTCCTTACCCTCACCAGGTCTTGCTGCCTTCCTACCTTTAGCACAGTGGCTCCAGTGCTCTCTTTTATAAAGCCAAATATGGTTCTGGCATTTTCCTACTCAAAGACCCTCAATAGTGGGGACAGCAGGAAGAAAAAAAGACAAAACTCAATTTGGCATCCCCCGCCCAATATGCTTCCAATTTATCTTGCTAGCCTCAGGTCCTACACATCCTTGTCCCCAACCCATATTATAGTCACATTGGTTGACTAACTAATAATTATTCAAAATGCCAACCACTTCCTCAACTCCATGACTTACTTCAAACTACCCCTGCAGTCTGGAATGTCCTTCTCCACTGTTTTCATCTGCTGGCATCCTACTCCTCTTTTAAGGTCTAGCTTAACTCTTACCTCTTCCAAGAAATTTTTATCGATTGTCAGAGTGGATTTCTGCTTCCACTATATTCCTGAAATAGTCACAACAATTGTCTCTATGGTAGAGTACTTTGTGTTTTGTTAATTTTTGCATGTATCTATATTCCTTGCTGAACTGTGAGCTCACACAGCATAGAAACAGGTGCTACTCTTCTATGTGTCACCTATTGCATAGTGTGCACAGTAGGTGCTAAGTAAATGCTTGTTTCTTATTCTTATTAATGTACTTATTATTTTTGTAGAAATAATTAGATCATGGTTACCCCTTCATCACCTTTCTCAAGACTCAGTGTCTTCTATCTTGGACATGAGTGTCACTATTAGAACTTTGTATTTCTGTCTTTTTGCCAGGTTCTTTAAACATGGAGAATGATAAAGCACAAGGTGTTTGGAAAGTGAACTATTTCAGGGTGGATGAGTTGAGACTATTAAGTCACAGAGGCAAGCGGAGACTCATCAGGTCCTACTGATCAGTGACTTAAAGGAAACAGCATGATATGGCAGCCTGTGGCCTTTTTTTTTAGTGAAAAAGTGCAATGGGCATGGAGTAAGGTCTAGAAAACTAATCTTGGGCATTTCTTTCTTGAACTTCCTGACCTCTCCTCTAATAGGCAGCTGCATCCAGAATAAAGAGGTTTGGTTATGAAAAGCCTAATTTGCAAACCTCAAACAATGACTATGTTTTCCCACCTGCTACAATCTTCAATCTTCATTCTTCTTGGAAGCATAATCTTAGACACTGATTAGGGGCAAAGGGAAAAATTGGTAAAGTTTCTGTGTAAAGAAAGTATTAAGAGTTCCACTAGGGCCTATAGCCAGAGAGCCATCAATGTCTCAGAACTTCCTTGGTATTCTAGTGGGCACCAAGTGGTCAGGAAGAGCATTTCTCTGGAAGTTGCTCTCAGGGCAGTCGGTGGAGGAGGAAGCTTTCCATAGTTGCTGCTGAAGCAAGCCTATAAATTGCACAGAGATAGATGCCTAATGCCTTGTCAGCAGCATAGGACACCAGTAAGTTAGAAGACAGTGGAGATGTTGTGGAAGAGAAAACTGAAACCCTAGTTCTGGAGTGTTTTTTTTTTTTTTTTTTCATTTATTCAAACACTTTCCTTTGAGGTTTTAAAAGAAGTGTATATTATTGTGTAATGGATAACAATTCTGCCATTATTTTGAGGGTTAAAAGCCCAATACAGAAAGGGTTTACATAACATTTTAGAGTTACTTAGCAAACAAGTGGTAGAATTCTCACGTTCCATGTGAGAGACCTGGGTTCAATTCCAAGCAAAGCCACTAATCTGTCAGTG